GCTGATACTTCTCGGCCGTACTAAGTACAGTTATCGGAGATACCCTATGATAGCCTCTAGGTAACACGAGTGTAAATTCGTTTTACCACGAGTGTGGTAAAATAAAACTTACTATTATGGTCATTATGATTAAAAGAAGCTCCAATTCTTTTAATGGTTTTCCGCGTAGCGCTAACAATGGGTGGTGTTATTAGTTTTAACACAGTCGCTAAACCACCAATTATACTAATAATAATCGTCGCTATGTGTATAACGCCATTTCGTTTCTCAAGCGTATAATAGTAGCAGGACAATGATGCACAGAGCTGATAATGTGCTTTATAATCTGTATTGTTATTCCAGTCTTCAGTCAACAGTTGTTTAACAATATTTTCAACTGTTGTATTTGGCAAGTATTGGCTTGACACAGATGAATCGAGAATTGTTGCATTTATCAGCATTAGTATTTAAAACATCGTTAGTGGTGCTATCGAAACAATCTCGAGAGAGAAAGCATTCCAGAGTCAGTTGTAAGAGTGTATTGACCGGATAACGGCCTGTATAGAAATTAGTGATTTGTAATTCAGGTATTAAAATATTATAATATTCGTAATCAGTACTATAGTATCCTACTGCTGCAACACAATTGGATGATTCAAGACAATTACAATTTTAGTAACTCATAATGGTAGGTTTTATTAGAATGTAATTTTCATCCACAATTATTACCGGAGTGTGACAGTTGAGCATTGTCGATTAATTGATTACCACGTGTTATGCCTAATATGAGTTCTAATGCTTTCACAAATGTATAGGGTGTTGTAGTTTTCAATAAATTGATGAAAAGCCTTGTTTGTGTTTGAATGGTTTCTCGAGCTATTGATTGATTTAATAATGCGGCACCGATTTTAGTTCTGTGTGATTAAATTGTTTCAATGAATCGTTAACGATCTGCGACGATAACTGGCGAAATATCGAAAGTATTTGAAATTGCGTTGACCCAACGAGTAATATATTTAAATGATAACGCAGCACTGTTCAGGCTGAAGATTTTGTAACGTAATCGAGCTCAGCTTGAGTCACTCGCACAAACTATCCCTAGTAGCATTCCCGCTTCATTTCGCGGCAAGAATACAGCTTCATCTTGCCGCGATTTTGACAAGAAATTTGAAACTTAACGCGGGATTCATACCGCGATCGTACCTAATCTTGCTAGTTTTCCTGTGTAACAAAACTTTGACAATCTTGACGCGAAACGTTTTTGACGGGATCGCACTGAAATCCTGCAAAGATTACAACGGGATCTGGACAAGATCATATCAAGATCCCGGTATGATTAGAACAAGGTTGCAGGAAGGCTGAGAAAGCTTTCCTACCACTTATCTGATTGTCACTACATTCTTTCGATGGTTTAATCTCTTTTCCACCAGGTTTCATCATGTTTTACTCGGTATTTTCTTCGAGAACATGAAGTAATTAGAGATTTTCTCCTAGAACACCTTCAGAGTACACAGCAATTTATTTTTTTTGTTTTGAGTTATAAGCTCCACGGCCTGTCCAAGCGTTATGGACTTACGCTTTTTTTTAGTCCGTAGCAATTTTTTCTGTAACGGAAGATGCTGTGAGGACCGTTCTTGCGTCAGCTGATAGAATTCGGTGAGTTCTATTTGCTACGAACATATTGTGGGTTTCGGCCAAGTGGCACGGTTTTTATACAAATAATATTGAGCGTTATGGACTTACAAAAAATAGAAGTGAATGTACAGCAGAGCAAAAACAGATAATAAGTTTAGCGAATAATGATGTTCTTTCAAAAAACCTTTTCGTAGCAAATGTAGCTGAGAATTAAGTCTATATAAAGCAAAAAAAGATTTGTTTCGAAAGTGTTTAGTCTGGCAGATACATCAAAACAAAAACGTTACGGACTTACGTTTCGTTATGGAGTTCCAGTTTTTTTTGGTTCTTTCAAATCAGAAGGTTAAACTCCATTACAAAAGTCGTCATAGAAAAATATTTCCGATAGTAGTAGACAGTATCTGATCTGATCTTTCCGATGCACCGTAGAAAAACGTTTTGACTTGGAGAATAACCCGTTTTAAAACTTAGTCTGTCGAAAAACCAACTTTCTTGGAAAGTACCTAAACTCAAAAATAAATACACCATCTTGTAGAATTTTAAATTCTCAACAAAATGCCATATCTCTTAATTTTTTCGCGAAAATATCTAGGTCAGGAAATTAAAAATAAAATTTCGATTTCATTTTTTGGGGTCAAAATTAAATTTTTTGGAAATTTTAAGTTGATATTCGAAATCAACTTCAAAAATCACGTTAGACGATGTGCTTCACAAATTCTTAAAGTTAAAAAAAATTCTTCGAGCCATCTTAAGTGAAGGTGACCGTTAACTGGACAGACCGTCCATTTCATTTCAATGTCACAAAGTTGAACTATTATTAATTTGTTCATCTAAAGTGTGATATTGTTTTTGCCGGTGAGAAGTTTCATCTCAGATGTATCTTTAGCTTCTTCATCGGTGTATTTTTCATTTCTGATTCGAAACGTTACTGCCGTTGGATCTCAGAATAGAAGTGAGAGGGGCTGTCTTTGTGTTTCATTTGTGAGTTGTGCCAGTAAGGTATCGTTTGCCGTATGTGAAGAAAACATTCACTCTTGAACGGTTTGGGTACTCAGTAAACACTGGCCAGTCAATCAGTATAAGTACTGGTACTGGTGCATAACTAATCTTGGTCTAACATTACAGTAATTTTATTCACATCTCTTAAGCCTCTCTTTCAACTATTCTGCATTTTAAAGGTATCATTTAACTTATTCAGTTCTTCGTAACACTTTTATTTATACCCATGTCTACGCTAGCCTCTATACAAATAAGACGTAGATCTGGGCACTCTGCTCTATATATAGATTTTATAAATTTATGACTTTGAAAATAAGATTTATGACTAAAAGCTCGAAAGTGAATTTCTGTGAACTTTTCATCCAATCAATTCCAGTGGCCAAAAATCACTTTTTGACGCAGTCCATGCTGTTTGTCCACGTACTAAAACGAGAAAAAGCAGAAGCAAAAAATTGTATATATATGTTACAGAAGAAGCTAAAATATTAATTTTTCCTAGTGGAAATTAAAATCAACATATACACAAACACGAAAACTGAATTATCTGACTTTAGAGCTCGAATTTTAGTTTTCTGAAAAGCGCACGATGTTTATGGACATCAGGTACAGATTATGAACAGTGATTGCGAACCTAAAACCTCCGTCCAATCAAAATATAGTCAGAAGTTATAGTACGGGTCACAAAACGTTTACGGATCAAATTCTGCTCACAAGTTGCTATTTTTGGACTCGCAGTCACTGTTCATAATCTTCACCTGATGTCCATAAACATAGTACGTTTTTCAGAGAACTAAAATTCGAGCTCTAAAGCCGGATAATTGAGTTTTCGTGTTTGTGTATATGTTGATTTTAATTTCCACTAGGAAAAATTAATATTTTAATTTCTACTAGCAGAATTTTAAGCTCCACTATATTTTCATTTCTTCTGCAACATATATATACAATTCTTTGCTTTTTCCCGTCTTATAAAACCTATATATAGAGCAGAGTACCGAGATTTCCTAATTTGGCCAGGAGACTCCTGCTTCTCAGTTGTTCTCCTGCATCGATTTTGTTTTTTCCAAAATTGAGATTATCAGTTTCAGAAACAGAATTTCCGGATCAAAAGTCTAAATAATTGTAGATTGAAAGAGTCCGCTGTGTGTTTATCGAATGTTTGCATCACAAGAAGGTACGATTAGTGAACTTCCAAACCCATCGGATCAAGATCTTCTTCCTCAATCCGTATTGCAGTCGATAACAAATGATAATACTGTTTCATCAGAAAATATTTCAAAATAAATTTTTTGTTTTGCTTATCCAACAAAAAACTGCCTGATACTCTCAGTTGGACACATATCCCGATTGGGATGTACTCCCAGTCAGGATATATATCTCGATCGATATATATCTTTTTCAATCAAAAGTTAGGCTACATATATAATACAAATCTTTAAGTGCTTTTGCATTTTGTAAAATGGGCTTCTCTGCCTATGATATTCTGAAAAGTGATCAAGAAAGTTCCAGTACTTTATAAAATTAAACTGAAACCTATACATTTTACTAACTTCAGTCTGTGATATTGAGATCTCTATAACTTAAAAACTAAGCGGTACCTTTTTGTACAAAATGGCATGGTACAGAGTACAAGTTGTGTACGACGTACCGACAGAAAAGCTGGAGTATAATACATTAAAATTACACCTTAAATTTTCATAACGCGCTTTGGCATTAACTAACGCTTTTTAACATTATCTTCCGAGATTAAAAGCGCGTTTATGGATTAAAATAACACCATTGGAAAGCATTGAAAGGACAAACTTTTACGCGTTAATATTTTCTAAAACATCGTTTCTGCATCGACAAAACGTTTACAATGCGTTCACAATTCATCTAGAAAATTTTCAAAACTTTCGCAACAATGTGATACGTGTGTGGAAGCAGAAATGCCGTTTTAACAAACTTTGACTCGTAAAGACATATTTCTGTTGATCTTGGGTTGAGTTCCAGTGCTGAAATGAGAAGCTTTTCGTTCAAAAACAGGACTTTTGATCAAGAGATTTTTTCTAAAATATCAGGAGGAAAATAGGCGATGCTTTTCCGAAATCAGAAGAGAAACCGGAGAGTCAATAAGGAGCACCTTCTATATCCTGACCGGGATATAGCCATATCTCGGTCTTCATACAGAAAAAAATTAACATCCTGATCGAGATATAAAACACAAAATTTCGTCGTAAAAACGATTAACCCTTTACACCCGAAGACACTTTTATTATAGCTGTCGCTGAAATAACTATTGCATTGAAACTTACAGTTCTTTCGAGGGAACATATGTAACTGACCAATCGTTTTTTTAATGAAATCTAGTGAAGTATAGGTAAAAAATGGTGCTGAATCCGAATATCGGCATGAGATGGGCCGCTAGGCCTTGCGAGTACCGGATTTCTGGGAAACCAGGTTTTCAGAGCCAGAAACTTTTTGTGTCAAAACATTTTTCTGATCTGACTCTATTGTAGAGCACATCCAGAAACCTATAAAAAACTAGTTTTCAGAATTTTGGAATCTTCCACAGCCTGCCAGACGGACTTTTCTTCTCTTTTCCGTGCGCTGAGGTTTTTTTAGGGAGCAAAAACACTTCAGAAAACCCCAAAACTAGTTTTTTTATAGGTTTCTCGATGTGCTCTACAATAGAGTCAGATCAGAAAAAAGTTTTAGAACAAAACGTTTCTGGCTCTGGAAACCTGGTTTCCCAGAAATCCGGTACTCTCAAGGCCTAGTGGCCCATCTCATGCCGATATTCGGATTCAGCACCATTTTTTACCTATACTTCACTAGATTTCATTAAAAAAACGATTCATCGGTTACATATGTTCCCTCGTTTGGTACATCCATGTTATATTTGGACTTACGTGGTGTTGCTTTGCCGCGTAGATACATGATGTCCCTTGGAAGGAACATTCGGGTGTAACGATATGGATTTTGTATTTTTTTCATTATTATTCCGAACTTCCTTTTTACCCTGGTGTGTTACTATAAGTTTCTTTTCAATTCTTTACTCACTGGAAAAAATTTTGATAGAAACAAACGCATTTTTCTTTAATTTTTCCAAAAACGTCGTGTCCGAACGCGTTTTTCGAATCAAGATGGCCCCAAGAGCGCTTCTAAACGAGCTTCTTTTTATCTCAAGGAAGAAAAGTGTGTTCGGACGTATCTTGTTTTTTAAAAACTGAAGATAGTTTAGACGCTTTCCAATTTTATTCGGTATTTAAAACGCACTTAGATGGAATTTTTATATTGATCAGAGAAAAGACCTTCACATTTGTCGGCGACGGCACTGTAGTGTTGGTTACATCTTTTTTTCTTCATTCGTCCATCTTCAGATATGTAGCGAGTGATCACAGAATGACCCACGCTAACAAGATGTTAAGATAAAAAAATTCACTTTCCATGTCGTTACACCCGAATGTCCCTTCCAAGGGACAGTGAATCCACAGCGCTTTTACGAAAAGAAGAATGCTACAAAAATGTCTGCTTTGATTTCATTATAAAGTACATCCATATAACCCAAAACTACCAACTACAAAATTAGAAAATGATTTAGTGGCTATAAGTATAGAAAATATCTAAAACCAAAAATACAGTTTTGAACTTCATTCAATTTTAAAATTCAAAAATATCGGAGTAAAATGGAAATCTTTTTTTCTTATTTCAATCAACAGTTAGGCTACTCTATTGTCCTACATTAGTAATAATCTAGCTTATGGCCTGATGATCCGTTCTTTGTATAAATCTATTACATCAATGTCCCTTGGCAGGGACCGCCGGGGTGTAAAGGGTTAAAGGAAAAATGACAATGTTATGGGGGAAGATTAAGGTCATCATTAGAAAGAGCTCGAAAAACTATATCGGATTCTGTTGTGTTTGATTCAAAGTGAATCAAGCACCCAGCAACTATTTTTTCGAATAAAAACCTTGAACTATTCATTCATGCATATAAACGGGCTTATGTTTTTTATAAGTGAATCACAACTTGCTGTATCATTTAAAACGTATAACAGTCATGAAGCTAGTATTGGTGAAGATGCCAAAAGAACGTCATCATTTCAGTCGTTGCGGTATTTATACTCACATTGTCTGGCACAGCAACACCCCTTTCAAACTAGTTAGATTTGATGAAAAATATGTTACTGTGAAAGTAAAAAGTTACATTAACCAACAAAACATTTTTAACCGTAATTGTTCAAGCTTATGTCACCTATGTATAAATCAAATACAAGATATAATCAATGAATTATTACTACCATCACCTCCAAAACATTCAGATTTTTGATATCCTGATCGAGATATGCGGGAAGCCGTCAAAATTCACATCGGTGAATTTATTGAAAAGAAAATTGAGAACAGTATTATTCAATATGCCTGAAAGAAAGAATGTAGAACTATCATATAACAGAAAGAACATGCATGTATATATTCTTTTCTGTACTATATTTGACTTGATGTTTTATTTCTTTCTATGCACACTATAGAGAGAGAGATAAAGCAAGAAATGGAGAAAACAAATTTTATCGTTTTATCCAAAAGAAAGATTCTCTTCACTATCAATTTTTCACTATCTTGACGAAGAATTTCGACTTTTTCGCTTCTGATTTAGAAAAAATGAACTTTCTAAGCAATGTTTTAAGGTTAAAAGCACTTGTCTAATCTGTCATACCAAACAGTCGAAGAAATGTTTGTTATTTACTATTCAATCTATCTGCTTTTTTAAGGATCTTATTACGAAGTCTTATTTTGATCAGAAACGTTTGCTCTACAAAGCTGTGTTTTCAAGCTGTGGGGGGGG